GGTGGCTGACAGGGCTCTGGGGCTGGCTCCTGTCAGGAGCAGGGTGGGAGATGTTGCAGAGAGGTAAACTGGGGTGGGAAATGCCCAGCAGTCCTTGAAGACAGAGACCAGCAGGTCTCAGGGCAGGGAGAATAAGGGAGCAAGGAGGGTGCTGGGAGCAGGGAGAGAGTGTTGAACATCCTGGGGACATATAAGCCAGATGAGAAAACAAGATGGAAAAGCTCCTACAGGGTCCCACCCCATCCCAGCCATGATCCCAGTAACCCCTGTCCTGTTTTCCAGCAGTCCCAGCTGGCCTGGGGGCAACCTGCCCCCCGTCCCACAGAGACCCACCGGCAAACCAGGTGAGAGCCCCCAGGGCACTGGTGTCCCCAGGGAAGCGGGGTGAGGGGTACACCCACATCTCTGCCTTTCCCCCAGGTCCCCATGCTCAGAGAGCAGGGGTGGCCCCAGACCAAGGCAGGGCCCAGCCCCACATGTATCTGGGCTGGCACCTCTGTTACACTAACCTCTTCGGATGTTGGGGCACACTGTGGTGGGCTCAGTGGGGTGTCCCCCCCTCCAGGGATGGCCAGTCCTGGCCAGTCACTGCCTCCCTGACAGTCTTTCGTTCCCATGTCTCTGCCCACAGAGGTCGGCGAGCAGCTCGTCAACCCTTACAGCGAGACCATCTTTGGGCACGTAGCCCCATCTCGGGAGCAGAAGGTGAGAGCAGACTGTGGGAATGGTGGCTGTCCCCCACGGTCACTCTGCACCCCACTGACGCAGGGAACTGCAGCTGCCCACCAGCTGGTGAGGTGGGCATCACAGGCTGAGCCCCCCATGCAGTGGACCAGGCAGGCTGAGGAGGGCTGGGATGGGAAAGGGCGGAGAGGAGAGGAGATGTGACCAATCTCTCCTCCCTCCCAGGGCACTGGTGTCTCCTCTGACCAGGGCTACGAGGCAGTGACTGAGCTGGATGTGGAGCGAGAGGTGTGCAGGTAAGGGCCACCTCCTCCAAGCTGCAGGGGCTGGGCTCAGGGTCTGGGGATTGCATGCCAGGGGACATCCCTGGGGACAGCCAAAGAGCTGGGGGGGGAGTGGCAGGGGGAGCTTTTTGCCTACTGGTAGAGCAAGTTGGGAGCATCTGAGATCAGCTCAGCAGTCTCAAAAAGGGTCGATGGCCTCAGAGGTGAGAAAAAGCCGTGCTGGTGGGTGGCCCTCAAGGGGACAGTGCTTTCTGACAGATGCTCCAGGTGCACAGCTGGGACAGCACCAGTGGCACTGGGCACCTGCACACTGCGTGGAGCCTGAATTTGGCCACTGGGAGCAGGGAAACACCACAGGGGACAGGGATTGCTCAGAAATGCGACGTCTCCAAGCTCTAGATGAAGGTCTGTGTGACCTCCAAAGGCTCCAGCATCACCACATCAGCATTTGCAGATCTGTCACACTGTGGTGGACAGTGAGATCGTGAGGGGCACCTTTCAAATGCTTTTGAAATATATTTTCCATAACTCCTGATAGCATCTCAGAAAGAGGAAGGAAAGCTGCTCTTCCCATTTCAGATGGGGAGGGTTCCTTTTCCTGTGTTGCTTAGAGAGGAGGACGTGAGCTGCAGCTCTGTGTCCTTCAGCTCTGCCCGTGGCTTTGCCAACCAGTGCATCCTCCTGCCCCCACCTTTCCAATCCCAGTGCTGGCTGGTCCAGCCCAGCTCCAGCTCTGTGTGTAAGTCGCTGCATCATGACCTGACCCAGTGTCACTGAAAGGTAGCCGTTGCAGCCAAGAGGAGCACCATGGGCCATGGGTGGGGAGCTGCAAATACCCAAGAACAGGAGCTTTGTAAACAGAAATACTGAGATCTGCTGTGGAGGCTCTGAACCAGCAGTTCAGACTGGGACTGGGAGCTGGCCGCTGGGTCACTGTCTCCACCCAGAAGCTTCCAGGGAGATGGGATCCAGAGCATCCCGAGGACACCACCCAGGCCTTTTCAGCCCTGGGCCTACCAAGGACTTTGCACCCTGGTCTTGCTGAGAAGACAGTTTGTGGCTGTCAGCAGAGTGTCAGAGGCAGTGGTTCAGGCTCTTTTTTTTTTATTTCCCCACCTTAATCACTAGGGTGGTTGAGGTTGTTCTTGAAAAAGAGACAGAAAAGTCCTTGAAGACCTCATGAACCCCGTTAGCCAGCTGCTCCAATGTTTTCCTCACCAGACCAGCCCCCCCATGGCCAACCACAACCCCCCTGGAGCAGAGCTATGGGCTCCTGCTCAGCTCCTGAGCTGCTGCCAGCCAGCCCTGGCAGGACCTCCCCATCAAAACCTCCTGTTCAAAACCTGTGTTTCTCCAGTTCAGCTGGTTCCTCATCCTGCTGGCTGGCACCTGGTCACCCTCCCACCCCTTTGGCACACTATCTCCCACCTGAGATACCTCCTCTCATCCTGTTCTGGGGGAGCTTTGTCTAGACCACGCTGCTCTCTGGCTTGGGGTCTGAGCAGTGAAAGTCAGTGTTAGAGATGGACAGAGTTGCCTTGGCCAGCAATGAGATATCCTCAGCAAAGAGGAAGAGGACGGTGAAATTCCCCTTAAAACTGGGAGCTGGATCCAGCAGAGGCTGGAGGATAGGCTGGGATTCGCCTGCTCTGACGCTGGGCACCTTCCATCTAAGCTGGTGATGCTCAGCCCCTGAAACGCTGGTGAGGATAGCATCTGCCCTACTTCAGCCACCAATCTCAGCAGGAGAGAGGTGGTGACACAGCAGTGCCCAGGTCACTGCATGGAGCTCAGGGGACTGAGTCAGACTGCGACTCTTCAGGCATTGTGGTGAGGATGGTGCACCCTGTCCTGGTTTGCATTGAGAACCACAATGAGATGATTCTCAGGCAGATAGTTACTTTGGACTTCTCCCCACACCTCAAGGCATCTTCCCTGCAGGAAAAGAAACATTGGGAATGGTATTTTCTTGAGACTTTATTCCTTACCTCCCTCCCTACCTTCCAGTGCCCACTCACTGGTTGTTTGTCTTGACCCATGATCCCCAGCTGAAGTCACCTGATCCCTCAGCAGCTGGTCCCCTCATCACCACCAGGCATTTCTCTTCCATCACTCATCCTCTACCCTTGACCATTTCTCCCATGTGAGCACTGACAGGCTGAGACTGCCCCAACTTGGTGCATCTTACGCATCACCCTCCAGGCTCAGCTGCCCTGGCAATGCCATCTCCTTGCCCTGGGGACTCACTGGACCCTAAAGTTATTTGCCTTCACTGCTTGACACCAGCTGAAGGGGGAGATGACTTGGCCTTTGCAGGCTCGTTGCTTAGAGGCTCTTTCCACCAACCTTGTCTTGAAGGGCAGAGCTAGATCTTGGCGTGCTCCTGGGGTGCTGAGAGACCCTATCCTAGCTGGGTTGTGGGCTTTGCTTGTCCCTGCCAGCTGCTGCTTGTCTTCCAGCTCTTTGTAGTTTCAGGGGATGTAAATCATGACTCAGGAATGGGCTGCCATGGACCTTTTCCCTTTTTCTCTTGCCCTGACCCCTTCAGCAGCTCTGGCTCCCACTCAGCTCTGGCACTCAAAGCTAATATCTGCCTATGACGCACAGAGTCCTCCAGCCACCCCTCTCCCTGGCCAGTCCCTCCTGAAGAAGCTCAACACTCGCCTGGGACTCCAGCCAGATGAATCACCCTGCCAAGGCTCTGTTATGCTAATTAAACAGCAGTTTTTACAGTGTTATGGGACTCTCATGGCCATTTCTTGTCTTTCTTGAAGACACTGGAGCCAAACAGGCCTTTTTCCCACCCCACCCACCTCCTCGACCCCCTTCACCATCTCGCTTCTCCAGAGATGAGCCCTAGGCTGGGTGGCTCCAGCCCAACGGCCTTCCAGGCACACTTCAGGTCTTTTTTCTGTTCCACATGGTTCAGGGATATCTGAGGTCTGATGGCCTCACAAGGTGCCTGTTCAAAGCACAGGTCCCTGCACTGTCTTTGCTCCTATGATGGAGGCAGTGCTCAAAACCAGTTGTTCAGAGAATTTGTGATGAGGGGAGGTGTTTGGGGTCATTCTCCTGGTCCGAAGGCATTTCTAGCACATGGAATTGGGCTGGAGATGGTTTCTCATGTTCAGTACCTCCCCAGTGGGTTTGTCCTCCATAAATTTCTCCTTCTACAACATCCCGTGTCAAGGAGTCCCCCAGGTCAGACAATCTTGCCCCATGTGGTTCTGCACCTTGTTCCTGCTGGCTTTTCCTGATGTCATCTTTCTCCTGTGACTGGTGGCCAGGAGATCCCCTTCAGCCCTCGTGTTGCTCACAACTTCAGAAATCTGCTCCTCTTACTCATCTTTTCCCCAGTGAAGTTGCCCAGCTTGCTCAAGTGCTCCTCAGACAGAAGCTGTGACAGGTCTTGGACCTGTCGCTGCCTTTCTTGGAGCCTTTTCTTCACCCTGGCACTGGGTGCTGTGAGTGAACCAGTGACCCAGGTGCTCTCCTGCTGGTGCTAGGGTGTCCTGGCTTCTGTGACTCTCTTGCTGCCCACCATCACTGCACCTGGGCAGCTCCCCTGTGAGCTCCTGGAACTGTCAGACATTTTCCAGCACATTTCCCTTTTGGTGAAAGGAAAAACATCTGGCTGACAGGGCTGAGGGGAAGGGGCAGGCTCAGCAGTTTATTTATAATTTCCTTTTATTGTTACGGCTGGAGAGTGTCACCAGGCCTGGCTGGGGGATTAACATGTCTTCCCAAGAAAAGAAGATGGATCCAGGAGCTTCACCGGCCCATCTGCCTATCCCCAGCCCCTCTGTAAATAATTTCAGCTGGACACAAGAGCAGGCAGGAGGGTGTTGTTGCAGAAGGACCTCCCTGGTGCCGTGAAGACTGAAGCGGTAGAGGGAGAGGGCAGGTGGAGACCCCTGGGGAGGAGGTATCTGAGGTGGGTGTAGAGCAGGGAGCAGAATGTGGGACTGGGCAGCTTCCTGGCTTCAGTTTGGTGCCTGTGGAGTGAAGAGGGGAAGAAGGTGATGCCATGGGTTTGGGGATGTGTTCTGGGCTGTGCAGTGCTTTCCAAGGTGGGGGAGCCCTTTTTGCCAGCTACCCCCAGCTTTGCCAACACGTAGGACTGGCTGAGCCTCTGTGAGCTGCTGGTGGCCATGGGGCTCATAAGCACTGAGCCGTTGTCCCACCCTGCTCATGGAGATGCAAACATCCACATCACTGGGTGTCCTGAGGAGCTCGGGATGGGGCCAGGAGCAGTGTGAGACAGCTCCAGATGGCATGTTCCTTCTACAGGGGACCAGGCCCCTGCATGGTGGGCAGCTGGGCTCCCTCACAGCCCCATTTCTCACAGGACAAGCAGCGAGTGCAGCAGTGAGGGAAAGCGAGGATGAGGAGACCCGGTCCCAGCTCATCAACCGCATCGTCCAGAATGACACTGAGGGATACTCCACTGTGGAGGCACCGCGGGCCGAGGGGGCCTCGTTCAGCCTGCCAGCCCATCTCTACCCAGACGAGGTCCTGGATGACCTCACCATCTCCCCTTATGCCAGCTTCACGTCTCTCTCCGAACCCCGACCCACCATGCTCAGCGGCTGGCTGGACAAGCTCTCCCCACAGGGGTATGTGCCCACCTGTGGGACGGTCCCCGTAGGTAAAGCCCCCTTGGGCAAGGCTGGTGAGGTGAGCACACTGGTCGCCATGCCACTGGGGCAGCCAGGCTTCCCCATAGAAGGACCCTCTTGGGTGCCCCAGTTGTGCTGCAGGTCTCATCCTTGGGGGAAGGAGAGGTCTATGAACAGATGTGGGGTCCTCAGGGGGACTGGCCCCTTCCCAACAACCACATTTTTCTACCATCCCAACAGGAACTACGTCTTCCAGAGGCGCTACGTCCGTTTCGATGGGAAGAACCTGATGTACTTCAGTAGCGAGAAGGTACAAAGAGGGAAGGGTGGGGAGGCTGCACCGTACCACTTATTGCAGGGTGCCTCGACACCATGGGAGCTGCCATATCCCTTTCGCCTCCCCTTGTCCTTCTGTAAGAAGTCAGCGTTGAATCATAGAGTCATGGACTTGTTTTGGTTGGAAGGGATCTTTAAGCTCGAGTCCAAGCGTCCCCCCAGCACTGCCAGGTCCCCACTGACCCATGTCCCTCAGCACCACATCTCCACGGCTTGGAAACCCCTCCAGGGATGGGGACTCCACCACTGCCCTGGGCAGCCTGGGACAGAGATGGACAACCCTTGTGGGAAAGAAAATGTTCTTCAAGGCCAACCTCAACCTCTCCTGGGGCAACTTGAGGCTGTTTCCTTGTCCTGTCCCTTGTTCCTTGGGAGAAGACCCCAACCCCCACCTGGTCCATCCTCCTTTTCAGGGGGCTGTGGAGAGCCAGAAGGTCTCCCCTGAGCCTCCTTTGCTCCAGGCTCAGTGCTCCCACGCCTCACCCCACCTGGGCTCTAGGCCCTTCCACTGCAGCTTCGTTGCCCTTCTCTGGCCATGCTCCAGCCCCTCAAGGTCCTTCTGGTAGTGAGTGGCTCAAAACTGAAGCCAGGATTTGGGGTGTGGCCTCCCCAGTGCCCAGTCCAGGGGGATTATCCCTGCCTTAGTCCTGCTGACCACACTAGTGCTGACACAAGCCAGGATGCTGGTGACCTTCTTGGCCACCTGGGCACACGCTGGTAAAGTGCTGCTTTACCATCACCAGAGTGGAGCAGCCATGTCCTCTGTGCCTGGGGGACTCTGAACACAGCCTCATGCTGTAGGAAGCCCAGGATAGCAAGAGCCCCTCTGAACAAAGAGCGGGTGAGAAGTGTCCTGCTGGCTCACAGACCCTGAGGGCAGATTGCAAATGAGAAATCTCTGGGTCCCAGCCATGAACCTATCCCTATCTGAATCCTCAGCTCCTGCGTGGCTGCTGGTGTCCCCTGGGCTGTCCTACGAGGTAGCACCCAGTCGAGCACCTGGGGGAGGTGGAGAATATGCTGCATGGAAGAGCTTTTCTCATTGTGGGTTTAGGTGTGTGGGGTGAGTCAACAACCAACCCACATCCTCTCATCCTTCCATGGGTGCTCTGTGTGACCCCATTAGGCCTGCTGCGAGGTGCCGGTGGCTGTCACATCACCAAGGGTGACAGGCACTGCTGGCCCAGTGCTGTGGCACAGCCAGCTGGGCTGGCCCCACAGCAGTGGCATCCGTGCAGAAACAGGTCTCACGCATGGCCCCGGAGCAACCACTACTGCAGGAGCTTGCAGGAGTCCCTGCCACGTCCCCCTACCCCTATGGCTATGGCACCAGTGATCCCAGCAAGGCAGGGGATGGGGTAGCCAGGTTATGGAGGTGGCCTGCAGGAAGGGCAAAGGGGGTAACCTTGCCTGTGGCTTGTTACAGGAGCCCTACCCTAAAGGGGTGATCCCGCTGTCCGTGATTGAGATGGCTCGCTCCACCAAGGACAACAAGTTCCAGGTCTTCACCAGCCACCGGATCTTCGTTTTCCGTGCCGAGAATGAGGGTAAGCGAAGACCTAGGCCAGAGGCCACCAGTCCCTAGGGCACTGTCCCTGCCTCCCTCCTCCAGCCAGAGCATCCTGGAGGCACCTCTCACCCCATCCCCACAACATCTGGCCACGATGAGGGAGGGGACCTGTCCCGTGCTGTGCCTGCTGGGTGCTCTGCTCCATGCTGGGCCTGTTGGGAAGGGCTCAGCCCCGCTCCCTCATGCCTGGTCCCCAGCCCAGAGGAATGAGTGGTGCTCCACGCTGCAGAAGAAGGTGATGGACCAGCGCCTGGTGGGGTCCCGGCCCCGACCCGCCAACACTGCTCACTGCCAGAAGTCAGGAACCCTGGAGCTGAAGGGCCAGAAGTCCAAGGTGTTTGCAGCCCTGAGCCTGCCTGAGATGTGGCTGTACAAGAGCGAGCAGGTTCGTGGCCAGACCAGACACCCCACTGGCACAGAGGGCCGTGGCAGGTGGGACGAGAGTGATGGAAGAACCTTAGCCAGGGCTTGTGCCAAAAGAGGGGCAGAGAGGAAAAGGATGACCAGGAGAAAGGGAATAGGATGCTGGAGATCCTCCACAGGACAGCAGCAGTGGGAGCCTGAGCATGGAGATGCAGCAGGTATCAGGAGTGGACGCCTCTCCCGATCTCGCTATCACCAAATCATCTCCAGACACTTAGGTCTTAGTCACATCAGAGTCCAAATCCATCTTAGGACAGATGGATCCCTGGCCACAAAACCACCAGAAACACATGAAGTGGGCTTACCCCATGAGAGGCAGCAAGTCTCTGCCAGCCCCTTGCACCCTAGTACCTCTGTGGGTTTTGCTCAAGGTGATTCTTGCTTTATGAGTGTGCCTCACTCAGTGTGGACTCAAATCCTCCAAACAGAGGGACTTGAGTGGCTGGGTTCTGGGGGCTGTGGGCAAAACCTGTCTTTCATTTTAAGGCATTTTCAGGATGCTTTGTGTCAGCCACATGAGATGTCTCGGAGATGTGACAGGGTACCAGGTCTGGCTGGTCCAGGCAAAACAGGGATGGAGTGTTGGAGCTGTTGGATGCACCTCCCTGGCTCCACCTCCAGTATCACGGTACATCTAGGGTAGTGTGTCCACCACAGCCACAGTGCTGCAAAGCCAACACCAGTGTCACTTTGAATTGCAGTTCTTTAAAATGGGCATTGGCATCTGCTTCATTGAGATGCGTGGCTCCACTATCCGCGAAGCCAAGAACCGCAGCTTCGAGCTCATCACCCCTTCCAAAACATTCAGGTACCCCAGGTTTCCAGGTGGGATGGGGTTTGGGGAGCAGGTGAATGCTGGACCCGGGTGCTGGTTGCTACATGCCCACTGAGCTCTGGTTGTGCTGGTGCTCGTAGCTTCGTGGCAGAGTCAGAGCGGGAGAAGCGGGAGTGGATGGAGGCCCTGCAGGAGGCCATAGCCGAGATGCTCTACGACTATGAGGTGGCAGAGAAGATCTGGTCCAACAAAGCCAACAAATACTGTGCAGACTGCTGGGCTCAGAGTCCTGACTGGGCATCCATCAACCTGTGTGTGGTCATCTGCAAGCAGTGTGCAGGCCAGTACATCTTACTGGGGGTGACAAAGGGGTCCTGGTGGGTGTGGGCTGGGCCTGCCTGGGCAAGCGGGATGCTGGCTGGGGTATGGGTGTTACTTGGGTACCCGTTCCCCTGGCAGGATCAAGGGGTGCTCACTCTCCTGCTCCCCACAGGGCAGCACCGCAGCCTGGGCTCCAACATTTCCAAGGTGCAAAGTCTGAAGCTTGACACCAGCGTATGGTCCAATGAAATTGTGCAGGTAGAGCCTCTCAGGGCAGGGTGCTGGGGCTGGCACAGTGTCCTCGGGAGCCAGGCTGTTTCTCCAGGCAAGGCAGCAGCCCCAAGGTCTCCGCTGGGATGCAGGAACACCCGGGCATCCTGCTCCTCCTGGCTGGCCCTGGTGCTCTCCGTGACCATGGGACTCTCTTGCAGCTCTTCATCGTGCTGGGAAATGACCGAGCCAACCGGTTTTGGGCCGCTTGCCTCCCTGCTGCCGAAGCTCTGTACCCAGATGCCAGTGCCGAGCAGAGACGGGACTTCATCTCCCGCAAGTACCGTGAGGGTCGGTACCGCCTGCCCCATCCCCACTTCACCACTCAGGAGGACGTGCTCCAGGTAGGGGCCACCTCGGGGGGCTGGGAACCAGCTGAGATGCCGACATGTCCTGCTTGGCTGCATGTGCCCACACCCTCGTGTTGGGCACCTCTGGGTGCTCAGGTGGGAGGTTGCACCCAGCTTTGCCTGCCTTTGAGCACCTCTGGCAGGGGGCTGCGGGGCTCCCTGGGCCAGTACGTGGTCACCACAAGTACCTGTCTCATCTCAGGCATTGTGCACTGCAGTGGCAGGCCCAGCCCTGCTCAAGACCATCCTGCAGTTCTTCTCCTCCTCGGAGGCTGGGCTGGCGACTGACCCTGGTGCCTGTGAGGTGGCTCCAGGGGCTGACCTTTGCTGGGGACCCGAGAGCAAAAGGCCCAGGAATCATTCAGGTAACCAGGATCCTCCTGAGCTCCTTCTGGCTGTGTTGGGGGGGGGATTCCTCCTTGCTGCTGTCTCTGCACCCCCAGCACAACCCAAGGCTGGGGACAAACAGGGCACCAGGTGCCATGGCTCCCTGGGGGACCTGCCTGCCCCACTGTACCCATCTTTTGGGATGGACCAAGGCAGCAGGTTTGTCTGAAGCCTCTTTGCAGCCCCCCCCCCATGACTGTAACACCTCCTTGCCTCCACCTGCACAAGTGTGACATCCCTACACCCCGGTACCCATGTTTTGGTGGGTGCCTGCGCCCACCCCACCCTCAGAGCTGTTCCCCACAGGGAGCCCCCGCACACAGGGACCAGGTCCAGAGGGAGTCTACAACGAGATCATGCAGCCAGTGACACACAGTGGATACCTGTACAGGGTCCCGGCCACCACCAAGCTCCCAGGAGCCAAGAAGAGCAAAGAGGGTAAGAGTGGGGAGCACGGGAGGGCAGCCACTGGGGTGCCCACCCCGCTACTGCTGACCCCCACAACCCACAGACTTCCAGCGCACGTGGTGCTCCCTGGAGAGAGCCCTGCTCTTCTTCGAAACGGAGAAATGCATGGAGCCCCTGGGCCACATTGAGAGTGGGGACCTCATCTCCTTGGCCGTGAGCAGAGCCCAGGTGGTCTCCAACCCTGGCCCCACCGAGAGGTACCTCCAGCCGTGCCTGCACTGCATGCTGAGAGCCTGCGGGCACAGGCACTGCTCCCTGCTTGGTGCCATCGTCTTCTCTGGCTCTGGGCATGGGTTCAGGGTCCTGACGGGCTGCTTCATCCGCTGCAGGATTCGCTTCACCCTCGAGCTCTTCCTCACCGGGGAAAAAGTGCAGCAGCTGGGAACTGACGGGCCCGAGACGCTGCAAGCCTGGGCCAGTGCCATCGGAAAGGTGAGGCAGCCCCAGCTGGCCCAGGCCACTGCCACCCAGGGCAGTGGTGGAGTCCACAGCCCTGGAGGGGTTTCCAAGCTATGGAGATGTGGTGCTGAGGGACCTGGGTCAGTGGGGACCTGGCAGTGCGTCACCCCGTGCTGCTGGTGGGTCCCTGGGCTCTGTCCCCACTTCCCCGTTGTGATTCCTCCCAGCTCCCCACAGTCTTCATCCTCTGCAGCAAGAACCCTCCTCCCTTTTTCATGACCCCCCAACCTGCCCCCATCCTCAGAGGGGTCTGTGCTCAGGGGCCAAGCCCTGTCCTGACCCAACTCATGTCTTCCTCCATCCCACAGTGGTTCACACCTGTGAGCTGTCACTGCCTGCTGGGCTACGAGTTCCAGCGTGTGGGCCAGCTGCGCTACAAGTGCATGCTCAACCCCGAGCGATGGCAGCAGGCCTTCTTCATCCTGCAGAAAGCCCACCTCTTCATCTGCCCTGCCGAGGATGATGGGGCTGAGGACAGCATCAACCTCCGGCGGCTGCAGGAGCTCAGTGAGTGCTGTGCCACAGCCCAGGGCAGGATTCATCTGGTGGGTGGCCATGCATGGCTCTGACCCTTCTACTTCTCACGCTGATGCAGGTCTGGTTCCCCCCACGGAGACACCAGAGAAAAAAGAGCTGCTGATCCTGGTGGAGATGGGGAGGTGGGTCCTACCTCTGAGAATCATAAAATAGTTTGGGCTGGAAGAGACCTTTCGAATCATCAAGTCCAACCGTTCCCCAGCACTGCCAGGTCCCCACTGACCCATGTCCCTCAGCACCATATCTCCATGCCTTGGAAACCCCTCCAGGGATGGGGACTCCACCACTGCCCTGGGTAGCCTGGAACAGGGCTCGACAACCCTCAAGGGGAAGAAATTGTTCCTCAGGTCCAATCTAAACCACCCCTGGTGCTACTTGAGACTGTTTCCTCTTGTCCTGTCCCTTGTTCCTTGGGAGAAGAGCCCTACCCCCATCTGGCTCCAACCTCCTGTCAGGAATTTTTCAAGAGCACCCCCCCTTTCCTACACCTGCATGAGTGGTGCAGATCCTGGCACTTCACCTTGTTGAGCCTCATCCCCTTGGCCTCAGCCCATTGATCCAGCCTGGCCAGAGCCCTCTGCAGAGCCTCCCTAATGGGAGAGAATGGTACAAAATGAGTCAAGCAACCTGAGGAGGCTTCCCGGAGTGAAGGCACTCATGTGTGGGTTGATGCTGATCCCAAAACCCCATGAGGATGCTACTGGGACAGCAGATCTGTGGCCAAGGGGCTTACAGAGGTCTTTCCAACCCAGGGACTCTTGCCAGGGTGGGATGCCGGGCTGTGCCTTGCTCTCTGTCCCAGAGCCAGGCTGTGCAGACAGGCACAGGTTGTCCAGGAGGTGGGTAACCTGCCTGCCCTGGACAACCTTCATCCCCTCTTTTCTGCCCTTGTTGTTCTCAGGACGTTTTACCTGCAGGGATTGTCGCGGGCGGACTCGGCGGCATGGTACATGGACATCCAGGCGTCGGCGGGGGGCCGGGGCAACGCATTGAGGGACCAGCAGCTGAGCCGAGGGGACATCCCCATCATCGTGGACAGTTGCATCGCCTTCATCACGCAGTACGGTGAGCCCAGCGTGGTGGCACGGCCGCAGCATCCTCCTACATGCTTGGGGCGACCGGTGGGTCCAGGCAGGAGGCACTGCTCTTGGGGCACCAGCCCTGTTGGGGTGTCCCTGGGCAGGATTGGACCCCCGTGACCCCACATCCCTGCCCCAGGCCTGCGGCATGAAGGGATTTACCGCAAGAACGGAGCTAAGTCCCGGATCAAGGTACTGATGGAGGAGTTTCGTCGGGATGCCCGCAATGTCAAGCTGCGCATCAATGACAACTTCATTGAGGATGTCACCGACGTGCTGAAGAGGTTCTTCCGTGAGCTGGAAGATCCCGTCTTCACCCTGGAGCTGCACCCACAGTGGAAGGAAGCTGCAGGTACCTCCTTCACCGGACCCGTGATCCCATGCTGGGCTCTCTGCCAATGACCCCTAGGGTTAATACCCCTCAGGGTGGGATTCTGGTGCCAGCCCTGGTGCCACATCAACTCCGGACATTCTGGATTCAACCCTGGTCCATGACTCATTCTCCTCCTTCCAGAAATCCCCTCGAAGCCCCAGCGCCTGGAGCGGTACAAGGAGCTCATTCATCGCCTGCCTCGCCTCAACCACAAGACCCTGGCTGCGCTCATTGGGCACCTCTACCGGTCAGTGGGCCACCTCCCTGCAGGGTCCTCTGGTCCAGATGGGGTCCCCAAGGCCAGACAGCAGTGTAGGGTCTCCCCGCTGCCAAGGAATACTGGCTCTCATCCCTGCAAGCCAGTAAGAGCCCGTTTCCTGCTCCACCAGCCCCTGACTTGGTGCTGGGGTGTACTGGAACATGCTATTCTGGGACACCTCAAACGTTCCCAGAGTCATCCTGTAGCAAGGGGGAGTGACAAGAGCTTTGGGAGCAGGGGACACTCCCCTGTAGGATATCAATGTGCCCAAGAAGAGAGGGAAAAAACCAAATTCCCCTCCCCAGCTCAGAGTATGGGGTGGTGGTGTAGTCTGGTTTGCTGGTAGCTGGAAGTTCTCGAAGCAGGAACTGCCTGGATGAAGCTCCTACTTTTTGGGAACTGGGGAAAAACAGGCTGTTTTTCAGGAGAGTTTGAGGCAGAGGAGGGTGGCTGGGGCTGAAACCCCACACAGAGTGGGACCATCCCCTCCCTACTGTCCTCCTTGTCCCAGGGTGCAGAAATGTGCAGACCTCAACCAGATGAGCACCAAGAACCTGTCGCTGCTCTTCGCACCCAGCCTTTTCCAGACCGATGGCAAAGGGGAACACGAGGTCAAGGTGATGGAAGACCTCATTGACAACTATGTCAGCATCTTCAATGTAAGCTCCCTTCAGGGACCTTGCCAGCCCCTTCCCTGATGGCTCTCTACATCTCCCCTTGTATTGTCCACCACTGTGCCCTCCCCCTGCATCCCTCCATCCTGGCCATGTGTCCTCAAGTCATACCCCACACCACATTGGCTCCATGTGTTTCCCTTCTCACCCTTCCTCTGGCAGATTGATGAAGACCAGGTATCCCAAATGGATCTGGAGAACAGTCTGATCACCACGTGGAAGGACACCCAGGTACTAGGGATGTTCTTGCTGGCCTCCATCACATTGGGGACCATCAGGCTGGTGGGACTGCCTAGAGGGTGGGGACACTCCCAGCTGCCCACCCTGGGTCCCCATTTGTTTCCCCTTCACCTTGAGGCTCCCGCCCAGGGGAGAAGCAGCCCCAGCTATGCAAGACACCATCACCAACCCCTGGGGAGAGGTAATGTGCACAGCACCCACGCCAGCTTGGTACCAATGGCACCCACTCTTCCCCCAGCTCTCACAGGCCGGGGACCTCATCATCGAGGTTTACCTGGAGCAGAAGCTGCCTGACTGCTGCGTCACCCTGAAGGTGAGTCCCACTGTAGGGCCATGCCAGAGGAAACAGGAGGGAGGAAGGTTTCTGGCACCACCTGCCCTTAGAATCCATCCTGCCACCACCAACCGCTCCTCCCCTTATGTCTGGCCCCAGGTGTCCCCCACGATGACAGCAGAGGAGCTCACCAACCAGGTGCTGGAGATGCGCAACGTGGCAGCCAGCCTGGACATCTGGCTGACCTTTGAGGCCCTGGAGAATGGGGAGCTTGGTGAGCATGGTGGGGATGTGGGGATGGCACTGGGGGGATGTTCTCAGAATGACCGGGCTGGTGAGGTGGAGGTGTTGGGTATGGGGGGGGGGCCGGTTTTGACTTGCTACTGGTGGCACAAGGGACAGGGACTGGCACAGGGAAGGGGACACAGCAGTGAGAGTGTCTCCACCTCCCCAGAGAGGCCCCTGCACCCAAAGGAGAAGGTGCTGGAGCAAGCTTTGCAGTGGTGCAAGCTCCCCGAGCCCAGCACCGCGTACCTGCTGGTGAAGAAGGTCCCCATTGGTGAGGGCAGCTGTCTCTTCACAGGTAAGCCAATCACTAAGGGGCCCAGCCCCTAGGGGTGTCCCCACAGGGGGACAGCTCTGCCTGAGCTTCCTGTCCACCACCCTGGAGCCATCAGGGGCACATTTCTGAGACCCATGGTGGGATTCCCCTGCAATACTACAACCATCCTCACGTGCTCCCAGCCCCCCTGACCCCCGTCTCCCCACACTGAGCAGGTGTCAAACGGGAGACCCCCAAGTGTGGGCTTCTGAAATGCCGTGAAGAACCCCCCAAGCTGCTGGGGAACAAGTTTCAGGAGCGCTACTTCGTCATCCGGGACCGGAGGCTGCTGCTGCTCAAGGAGAAGAAGGTATCCAGGGAATACTGTGGGGTTGGGCCTGTACCTTGGTGGCAGGAGGAGAGGTGGGGAGGGGGAGGCAGGGGACAACATTGGCATGGGGTTGGTTGTCCTCTTGACAAGGAGGCTGGCACCAAGCTGGGTTGACCCAAAGGTTCTCCATCCCCAGAGTGTCAAGCCGGAGCGCGAGTGGCCCCTGGACACAGCCAAGGTTTACATGGGCATTAGGAAGAAGCTGAAGCCACCAGCCCAGTAAGTAGGACCTTCCCTGGCCATTGCCCTGGGCCATGCATCCCTCGATCCCAACACACGAATCTAGCCCCTGGGAGCATGCCAAGTTCCACCAGGACACAAAGCCGTGACAAGGCTGGGCCCGTGCGGCGAGCTCAGCCCCCACCCCGCTGCCCACGGACCCAGGGCTGTGTCTGAGCTTGGCAACGGTGGCCCACAGCCTGAACCTTCCTTTCCCCAGGTGGGGTTTCACACTGACCTTGGACAAGCAGCAGCTGTGAGTATCTGCGACTGCCACCCTGGGGAGATCCATCTCCATGCCACACATCTTCCCCACCTCTCCTTCCACACCAGCACCCCTGGGAGAAGCGCCTTCCAGGCACACAGCTCAAGGCTCCAGAGGGAGCTGCCCACCCTGCCCAGGCGTGCGTGTCACAGGCTGTGCTCTGTGCCAGCCTTCCCCCATAGAGTCAAAGAATTGTTTTGGTTGGAAAAGACCTTTAAGATCACCGAGTCCAACCGTTGCCCCAGCACTGCCAGGTCCCACTAACCCATGTCCCTCAGCACCACAACTCCATGGCTTGGAAACCTCTCCAGGGATGGGGACTCCACCACTGCCCTGGGCAGCCTGGCACAGGCCTGGACAACCCCTTCAGGGAAGAAATTTTTCTTCATATCAAACCTAAACATATGCTGACACAACCTGAGGCCATTTCCTCTTGCCCTATCACTTGCTCCTTGGGAGAAGAGCCCAACCTGCACCTGGCTCCAGCCTCCTGTCAGGGAGCTGCTAAGATCCAGAAGGTCTCCTCTGAGCCTCTTTTTCTTACCCTGCCCCATTTTCCCTGACACTGTCAACATTAGGCATCCTATGAGCATGTCACCTGCCACCAGCATGAGGCTGAAATGTTCTTCTAAATGCAGCAAGGACAGCTGAGGCACCTCATGGGTGCCTAACAAGCTCTTGCTTTGCCGTGAAGCATTTGGGCAAGTAGAGAGTTTCAGAGGCGCAGCCCCACTGGGTGTATCTGTACCTGACAGCCCTGGCCTCGCAGGCAAGGTGACAAGGGGACATGGGCTCCACTGACCTTGCTCTCTGGCAGCTTCTCCACTGACTTCTCTGCAGGTACCTGGTGTGCTCAGGGCAGGCTGAGCTGTGGGACTGGACCACCAGCATCCTCAAAGCTCAGGTGGGTGCAGCCCGGTCACACCCCCCATTTGGGCTGGGCTGGGGCAGAGGGGGCTGGCAGGGCAGCCTGACGTGACCCCTGTCCCTGCCCTGTCCTTGTGCGCAGCACGATGACCTGCGCCCCGTGATCATGCGCCGACGCTCCTCCTCCGACCTCGCCAAGCAGAAGTTCGGCACCATGCCGCTGGTGCCCCTGCACGGGGACAGCACCGACACCACCATGCTGTCTGCCAACCAAACCCTGGTAAAGCCCCCTCAGCTCGGTCCTCCTCCACCCACTCAGCTCCACACACCTACCCCAAGACCACACACTCACCCCAGGGCCCCAGAGGCGGGTACAGGCTGCCTGACACCAGTGGGGATGCTTTGAGGGGAGGGTGCTGCGTGTTTTGCTAGTGTCTGTGGCAGCTCTCCGTGCATGCGGGGTCCTGTGAGGGCTCTCAGGGTGCTGCACCCCACCACCCATCCTCTGCCTGCCCTGCTCCACGCTACCACACACTTACTTCTGCCCGTCTCCTCTGTTTCCAGCGCCGCCTGCACACGCGAAGGACTTTGTCCATGTTCTTTGTAAGTACTCGCACTCGTGGAGCACATCCCTGGCTGGCTTTGCACTGTGCCAGCGAGGGTTCACCTACAGCACCCCACCTATGCTCGGAGATGTGCCCAGGCCGTCCTGCCCACGCTGGGTGGCAGAGGAGAGGGTGCTCGTTGGCTCTGTGTGTCCCGTATCTGGGGATGGAGGTCCCTGCATGGTCCTAGAGTGTGTAAGCAAGACCACACCAGTCCAGCCCGGTTCCCAGAGCCTTTCCCATTGGGAACACATTGCCCAGAGAGGGTCAACGTAGGAGATGTAAGGAAAGAGGTTTGGGTCCTCCTCAGCATCAGGTTATTTCCATGGGGCCACCTGGTTGGACTTCACCTCACCTGGCTTTGTCCTCTGCATGGGCACCCATCTGCTCCTGCCGCCCCAGGCCACCTCTGACAAGGGATGCTGGGCTGGTGCCACAGGACCATGCCTTGGCAGAGACCAGAACGCTCACCCTTCATCGCTGCTGGAGGAAGGAAGAGCAATAGTGCCTGAGCCAGGAGACCCAATGGAGGGTGGGTCCCCTGCAGGCAAGGGGCCAAAAGTTCCTGGGCAGCCCCCAGGTTCAGGGAGGGCATCGTGAGGGGGGATGGAGGGGTACAGCTCTGCAGTGTGGATGGTGCCACTCACCTCAGGCCCTCACCCTCCTCTAGCCCATGAAGATGCACCAGGACTCCCTGGAGGAGCAGCAGGAGAAAGAGGTGGACACCGATCCTGTCTACGAGGAGGTGGGCAACTTCCCTGAGCTGGCTGCACTGGAACTGGAGAGGGAGTTGCTGGCTGACCTGTCGGCCATGTCCCCCGTGGACAGGTCCAAGAAGCAGACCACATTCCCTGAGCAGCCCCCCCCCACGGCGCTGCGCTCATCATTGCCCACCAGCCCAGCCCAGAGGATGTCAGGTCCCTCCGTTACCAAAGCCCTGTCCCTCGAAAGGGGATTGAACCTGGAGAGCGACAAAGCTCCAGTGCAGGGGCTCAGACCCACCAAAACGTCCTCTCTGGAGAGGAACTTGGAGCCTTCCCTGGCACTGGACTGGGAGCAGACGGCCATGCTGGGGAGCAGCCCCAGCACAGAGACCTCCCTGGAGATCGCCAGGAAGAGGAGCACACAGCCTCCCTCGCCCATCAGTGACAAACTCATCCAGGAGCTCAGCAGTGTCATCCTCAGGAAGACTGAGGGCCAACCACCAGGGCCAGGCCAGCCGGTGACGTGACCCACCATGCCCAAGGAGTGGCCACCAACCTGGGGGTCAAGTCACACCCGGTGGCAGTGACGATGGGTACCCCACAGCCCCACATCACGGACCCCTCACCCTCCTCCTCACCCTGGAGCTGGGCTGGGAGCAGGGACCAGTGGGGACCAGGGGACTTGTGGGGACCAGGATGCTGAGCCATGGTACCACCTCTTGGGAGGCCTGGAGATGCTGCCACACATGCTCTCACTCATGGGTGACACGTCTGGCATCTGGCCCAGTGCCAAGGGAAGCAAGTAAAAGGGAAAATAAAAGCAGGAACGTGGTGGCTGCATGTTTTAGCAGCACGACACCCTGTCAGCCATGGGGACACGTAGTGCCTGTCGGCATGGGGGATCACAGCGTGATGTCCCCTCTCCAGCACTGGGCCCATGGGGCAGGGTCGGGACACCCAAGCCATCCCTCCCTTCCCTTCTTCCATCTACAGTGGCATATTTCAAGGAGGGGTGGACAGGTGCAGGGCTGGCCATGTGTGCCCGGCACATCATCCTGGCGATGGAGGACGGCTCCTGTTCCCCTGGGGCATTTCTACCTGTTCCTTCCACCAGCAGGGAGAAATAAAGGTTTATTTGTACTCTGGAAGGTTTGGTCACACTGCAGGAGGAGTGCTGAGGGGTGGCAGGGTCTGGCAGTTGGGGACACAGCCGTGCCAGAGCCAGCACCCAGCTGGGGGACCCATGGGACAGGAGCAGCGTCAAAGGAACTGCAGAACTGGGGTGAAGTCCTAGTGAATCTCAGATCAAGGGTGGGATTTTCTGCCAGCCTGAGACAGTGAAGCCCTTCAGGCTGGGAACCAAGGTGTAGGATCTCTGTGTCCCAGGGCAGGGGACACAGCCCAGCACTTCCTCACCCTGCCTACAGCTGGCTCTCCTTGCTGGACCTCTGGGGTGAGGCTGCCTTCCCCAAGGTCCCCCCTGATGAGGTCTCAAGCCCCCCCAGGCAGCAGCTGCCTGCATCCCGGACCCAGCCCCGAAAATCCTGGGAGATGTAGAAGTAGATGAAGGGATCGAAGCAGTTGCTGAAAGCACCAAGCACCAGGGCCACAGTATACAAAATGTAGTTGACGTTGTTGCACCCCTCGGTCTCTAGTATGTTGTGGATGAAGAGCAGCACATTGCTTGGAGTGAAGCAGACAATGAAGACCAGGAGGACCAGGGCCAGGACACCCACCAGCTGCAGATATTGCCTCCCCTTGGCCAGCAGCTGGGCCAGGATGCAACTGTAGGAGATGGTCATGAGCACAAAGGGCAAGCCAAAGCCCAGCCCCACCAGGAAGAGGAAATACTTGACAAGGGAGTTGTGCTCATCCTCCTCTAGGAAGTCATGACACGTTGTAATGTTCAGGCTTGAGTTATGTTTTGTCTGGATGTTCAAAAGCAGAGGGCTCATGCCCAGCCCTACCACCAGCCAGATGCCCACACAGATGCCCACCTTGCCCCACATCCAACTGGAGCCCTTCCATAGGAATGGGTGCACCACAGAGATGTAGCGCTCCAGGCCAATGCAAGTGAGGAAGAGGATGGAGCTGTACATGTTCCCATAGAAGAAGGCCATCATGGTGCGGCACAGATACTCCCCAAAGAGCCAGTGATTGCCCAAGAGGTGGTAGGAGATCTTGAAGGGCAGCACTAGGACAAAGAGCAGGTCGGCACTGGCCAGGTTGAGCAGAAAGAGAGTGCTGGAACATCTTCTGAAGTTGGTCACCAGGACCCAGCAGGCCAGAGCATTGGCTGGCAGCCCCACGAGCAGGACCACAGAGTAGAGGGCAGGGAGGAGACGGGTGGTGAGGGTGCTGTTGAGAAAAGCTTCCTCAGAGGCTCCAGGGCACCTGGCTTCTTCGTGGGGTTTGAGGGGGATCAACACTCGTGCTTTGCCACGCACTGCAGAGGACACAAGGCATCAGGCTCAGCCAAGAGTCTCTTCCTCCCACTGCCCCTTCCTGCTTGGGACCACGCAGGAGCTGTCACCCCTCCCTGCCCAGTCACCAGCAAATGCAGGAGCTGTCATCTCCCTGCCCCATGGCAGGGGCTGCTCAGGACACAGGACACATCCTGCCACCTTCACCATGTGAAGCTGTGCCACGTCCTGTGCCATCCACACCGCTGTCACCGTGGAAGTGCCAGCCCAGGCAGGTGTCCTGCCCGCCGCCCTGCCCATGTCCCTTTTCCCACTGAGCCCAGCACAAGTGCCTCGCAACCCAGCGGGGGCAGACAGGAAACCCACACCAGACAGGGCTGGGATATGGCTATCCACACCAGGATGGGAGATGTTCTCCCAGGGGACCTCCTGACTCTTCCTCCTTCCCCCCAGCCAGACTCACTGCCCCCAGCTCGGCCCCTGCTGTGGTCGGGGCTACACACACCTACATATCTTCCTGTGGTTGGAGACATTTCGTTGCAAGCTGAGACAGAAAGCGAAGAACAGGAAGGTCCCGAGACACCCAACAACTCCTGACCAAATCCCTTTTCTGGCTCGCTCAAAAATACCACAAACCAGACCATGCCTCCCTTCACATCACCCCCAGCTCCAAAAGCTCCATCTGGGTGGTCCCCAGGAGGCCCTGAGTACGTACAACAAGTTTCCCACTACCTCTGCCACCTCTCTGCATCCAGGGGATGGGGGAAATTCAGCTTTCAAGAGCAGTAACCTGATTTCTGCTGCCCGAAGGGGAGCAGGTGGCAGGTTCCAGGTCTTCATGTAGGTTTTCAGCACAGACAAACAGGGAAGGCAGCAGAGCGGTGCCCCAAGCCCATGACACCCAGCTAGCCCCTCCAAGCACCACGGGACTTGACAGTGAAGTGTCCCAGTGAGGTCCCCCTGCCCTGGCCCCTCACCCCCAGATCCACCAAGACACTTACTCGGGGTGGCCAAGCCAAGCCAGGCGCAGCCAAGCAGCAGGATAATGCAGGGAGCAGCAGAGCCAGGAGAAGGCACCAGCCGGGACATCTCTGCAGGTGGCCTCTGTGCGAGCTGCTTCTGCAGAAATGTCACAGGAAAGTGTGTCACTCCCCCACGCGTCACCATGGCAGGACAGGCCCCAGCCCCCTTCTCACTGGCACCCTTCCTCTTTCTCTTCCATGGCGTGAGCAGCCAGACAGGAGACAGGGAGCACGAGGGGACTGCCAGCTCCCAACGTCACCGAGCACCCAGTGGGACATCATTGAGGTCAGGGTGATTTCCAGCCTCCAGCACGCACGGGGGAGGAGGAAGACGGCCCAAGGCGACCGTCAAAAGACAGCCCTGCCACGACGAGACCTCCTCAGTGGGGCTGACAAGCTGATGTCCTCCTGTAGATGGGGTCACCCTGTGCTGTCCCAGTCTTGTCCTCCCTTCCCGACACCCAAGTGGGTGCTGGTTGGCCCCCAGGCCAGTTGCCCGGCTCCCTCCTGCAGACTTGGTGACATGGCCCCAGTCCAGCCTCGTGCATCAACAGGATCCAGGACGTGTGCTGCTGACCCCAAAAAATGTCAGTGGAAGAGCAAGAAGGTGACAAAAGGGACAGCAGAGACAGCCACAGGCTCTGCAGGAGCCACAAGCAGGGCAGGGGGAGAGCTGAAGGGGCTGGCAGGGGGACAAGGCATGGCAGGGGACCTCTCATGGGTCCACATGCCCCCCACCAAATGTCACTGGTCAGCACCATGCCCACGTCCCCATGGCTCTGCGTTGTCCATGTGACATGGCACCCCATGTGTCCCTGTGTCTGGGGGCTGAGGCCCCACTGCCCCACTCGCCCCACATCCCAGGACCAGTGCCCCAGCACCCCACAACTCCCTGTGCCCCAGAACGAATGCCCCAGCACCCCACATGTCACCATGTCTTAGGACCAGGGCCTGGAGTGTCCTCACACACCAGGATTTGGTCCCCAGCATTCCTAGTATCCCCGTGTCCCCAGACTCCCTATCTACCCCTGCCCAGTGCTCCCCATCACGATGTCTTCCTACTTCCCTGTCTCCCCATTTCCCTATGTCCCCATGTCCCTGTCCTCCTGCTCCCCCATGTCCCTATCTCCCTGCCTCCCCATCTCCCTGTGTCACTCATGTCCCCATCTCCCCATGTCCCTGTTCTCCCTGTGTCCTCATGTCCCTGTCACCCATGTCCCCATGTCTATATCCTCCTGCCTCCCCTGTTCTGCCTCAGCACGTTCCCATGTCCCCATCTCCCGATGTCCCATGACCCCCTCTCCCAGTGTCCCCATGTCTGCGTCCCCCTACCTCTCTGTATCTCCATCCCCTGGTGTCCTCACATCCCTGCCTTCCCATATCCCCGTGTCTCCATTTCCCTGTGTCTCCATGTCCCTGCCTCCCCATGTCCATCTGTCCCCATGTCCCCATCTCCTGGTGTCCCCACATCCCTGTACCCCTGTCCCGTTGTCCCCGTGTCCCGCGGTTCCCGCGCTCCGCAGGGACGTGCACCACCCACTGCTAG